CCTCTCTGGCTACCCCAGTGCCCCAAGGATGAGAGGAATCTGAAGATTGTCGGGGATGACCTCGGACTCCCACGTGTATGTGAACTTGCCGACGGTGAGTCCGAAGAGGAAGAAGCGCTCGCCCAGGTCGTCGATGAAGTCGACGCCGAAGGACACGTCGTCTGTCTCGACTTCGGCGCTGCCCTGGGGAATGCCATCGCCTCCCACACCAGCACCCACCTGACAATCGACGGACACACACACGGAGAGAGAGAGATGGCCGGCAGTGTCTCTCTCTCTCTCTCTCTCTCTCGCTCTCTGTTTGTGTGCTGACCTGGACGTATGTGGTGCCGAGTACGCCGAATCCCACCTGCACGAAGACCTCCGTGTCTGCCGGGTCAGGGAAATCGCCTGCAGGCATATCACACACACACGGCCACGCATCAAGCATCGCCGTCACACAGACCCAGACAGGGCATCGATCCTCCGACCGTTCAGGACAAGCTGGTAGCCGTCCCCCCAGTTGCCCTGGAAGTCTGTCTGTCGCTCGTCGAAGTCCCTGAGCACCGAGAACTGGTAGCCGAGTGTGCCGACGCTGACGCCGTACTCGGTGTCGTCGACGTCCGACCCGATGGCGACGCCCGTGCTCTTGTACCCCACAAACACCTCAGTCGCCAGCTCCTCGTCGTCGTTGGTCGAAATGTCTTGCACGTCGAAAAAGTCGTGACGGACTGTCACCTCGGTGCTACGCACCTGCGCAGGAAGTTACAGACGACGTGGGTGTGGTGGCGTGATGTGGCGTGAGCTGGCGGCAGTGGGTGAGTACCTTGACTCGGACGCCGTAGTCCCTGTCGAGCTTGTCGATGTTGGCGCCGACCTCCGTGCCGCGGGCCACCGCCTCGATCGCATATTGCCGGTCGTCAAGGTCGGCATCAACCTATCAAACCAATATGTCAATCAGACTCACACGCATGTCGACTTGTGTCAAGCTTGGTCGTGGTGCTGTCGCTGATAGACTTACCCTGACGCCGTAGGAGCCGACCATGACGCCCACACCGCCCTCCAGGTCCTGCTCGTCCGTCGAGACCGTCACAGTCGTCTTCCCATACCCGACGTTCACCTGCAAGCCAATCCACACAACACGCACGCACGCACAAGGGATGGAGGATGCATGCAGCCAGGTGGGGTGGGTGGCTCGAGTCGCTCGTATGTTTGCTGACCGACCAGTTGTTCCCTGACGAGTGTGTCGATGCCGATACCGACGAAGGCGACGTCGTTGCCCACCTGCACCGACGTCTCGCGGTTGAGGAAGTCCCTGCCCCAGTTGATGGACCAGTTGTCCCATATAATCTCGTTCGCGATCTCTGTCACACACATTCCACACACACAAGTCTCATTCATTCAGTGTCCGCGGCTCTCTGTGGGTGCGCTTGCTTGTGTACTGACTGACCGCTGAATAAGTCCTCGGGCGTGTTGGCGTTGAAGGGGAAAGGTTGAAGGGGGTTGAGGCTGATGGGGGGGCTGACGATCTGCCCCTCCACCTCTCCCACCATCCCCGGCGACACCGCCGGCTTGCTGCCCTCTCCACCGTTATGGCCGTCATCGCCCCAGCTGCCCCTCTCAGCAGAAGGAGTGTGACCGCCATGGCTCTGGCCCCCCTCCTGCAGCCGCCTCCTGCGCCACTGCCCGTACTTGCGGCCGAGCTCGCACTGCTCGTCAACCGATGGCTGCCTCGGGAAGACGGCCATCATGCACTGGACGCGGTAATTATACCGGACATCCTTGCCCTCGCCCTTGCCCTTGTCCTTGTCCTTGCTGTTGCCCTTGGGGAAGCTGGCAGGCCTCAGCGAGAAGACAATGTGCCCGCGAGACTGCGAGATGACCGTAAACAACGGCGGGGTGTTGTTGGATGTGGCGTGTCGGAGCCGGTCGGCGGGGCAGCCGTTGACGATGAGGTGGTGGACGCACCCGGGGTTAGCCTCCGATGGGCCGTCAGGACACACGAGGTCGCAGAGCATCGGCCAGGGGTGGCCGGGGCTGCCCGCTATCCAGGACTCAAACACAAAACCGCTGAACGCAGGACGGCAAACACCACACATGGTCTCTGGTAGGTGTGTTTTGTTGGCTGGCTTACTCGTCCTTGTTGTTGACCGATAAGGTGAGGTTGGGTCCCGCGACCACCTCGGCAGACAGCAGGTGGCCGCTTCTGACAGGACAGACATAACAAATCGATGGACATCATGACACCGATGGCAGGTGACGCCTGGGGGCTGTGTTTGTGTTTGCGCCACGACTCACTCACTGACTCACCCGATTGCCGTCCACTCGCGCGTCAGCAGCTCCTTGCTCTTGTGAGCCACCTTGGACCCCGACGTGTGTTCCCACTTGGCCGTCGCCACACACTCCCCACCCATGGCCGAGGTGGCATTCCCACCACCCTCCCCATCGCCCTCCCCCTCCCCCTCTCCGTGTGTGCCGTTCCCCCTCCCCTTTGCCGTCGTGTCGTTGGTCGTCCCGTTGGTCTTTGCGCACGCACAGGTGACGACCGCGTTGTTCTCGGCCCCCGGCACGCGCATCACATTGCTGTGGTACACGTACTTGCCCGTCTCACTCCTCCTGGTCCCGCACTCACCATAGGCCACCGACGCCATCAAAGCGTGCCGCCGGCTGTCCCTCATCGACTCGTTGCTGCCCAGGCCGTCGCCGAAGAACTCCTCCACAAATGTGGCGCGGCACCTGGGGTCGTTCGTGTGGTTCCGGAACCCCCCTCTCGGCCACCCCTCACTCAGCGGGTCGTGAGTGACGGGGATGGCGGCCGTCATGCGAGAAGACGAGCACCAGGCGAAAGGGGGAGGGGCCTTGGGCAGCCCTTCACCCTGCAACAGCTTCTCGGCAAGCTCCGCGCGACGAAGGTCCCGCCTCCTCCATGCCGGCATGGCGGTGAGGTCACTGTCACTGGCGGCGGCGGCCTCTGTGCTGCTGCTGCTGTTGGTGGTGTTGCTATTGTTGTTGCCGGTGCCTGGGGAGGGGAAGGCGGCGTGGCTGAGGGAGAGTGTGCTGGGGTCTTGCGGCTGTGCGATGCTGCTGCTGCTGCTGCTGGTGCTGTCAGCTGCTGTGAAGACGATGCAGGGGAAGAAGCAGTAGAAGAGTAGGAGTAGGAGGGAGTGTGTGGCGACGGCGATGGCTGTGGGTGTGCGGGGTCTGACCATGAGCCGCTGTCACCGCGGGTCATGGGAGCGAACAGATATGGGGGACAACAAACAATGCCGCACCAAAAAGGAGTACAACCAGCTGAGGTGCAGAGCGCTTGGTCTACGCTAACTATGGCCGCCGTCTGGGCATGCCTCTCACACCCAGGAGCCTCCTTTTTCACACCACGTACAGGTTTAACCGTTTACAGTTTGTGTTTTGCGGAAGTTTTGCCCCACTTTGGAGATGCAGAGGTCATCTGCGCATGGATCCCCATCGCATGAGCAGCGTGACGTAGCATTCCGCTGCACCGCCACCCTCTCGCCCCGCCGGAGATCTCCAGCAGCCCGCAGACACACCAGAGGCACAGCCAGCCTCTCGCCCATGCCCCAGACACGACCGGCTCCCAAGCCACACTCCCCGCCTGTGGCCCCCTCCTCGCTGCCGCCCCGCAGCCCCGCTGTCCGCAGAGATACCACTGGACAAGTGAGAAATGCGCTGGAATGGCGCCAGGGAGGGGGCTGGACCAGGGGAGATGTGGCTGCCAAGGCGCTGGTCAGAGAGAATAAAACACAAAGGGCAGAAAGAGAGCAATGCATGGATCGGTTGAAGTGCCATTCTTTATGTGTAGGAGGCTGAGTTGCTTGACCGTGCAGCGGCTCAGGAGCGTCTGGAGCGCATCAACGAGCGGCTGAAGGCCAAGCTGGAGGAGTACCAGCGGCAGAACATGGACAACGTTGAGCGGGCGGAGTGCGAGATACGGAGGCTGCGGGAGCAGCTCATGCAGACTGCACAGGAGCTGGAGAGGGAACAGGAGGTAATAGGGCTTGCGAATCCAGATGGACACAATATGGGAGGGAGGGAGTGGCCGGAAATGTGGGTTCCTTCCTTCTCGTTCTCTCTCTCTCTCTCTCTGTGTGTGTGTGTGTGTGTGTGTGTGTAGGTTCGTCGCGTGTTGGAGTTGCGGTTGGATGCGCACCAGACCACCATGCACGGGATCGCTATAGAGGTCAGCTCACAGCAGGAGGGAAGGGCTAGGGGTAAAGGGGCGCGTGAGCATTCCTCTCCCTGTCCCTCTCCCTCTCTCTCTCTCTGTGTGTGTGCACATGGATCAGGGTGTAGAGGACGCCGCGAAGCTGCGGTCGCAGCTGCTCTCACTTCAGTCGTGAGCGGCGGACAACACACACACACACCCCGTGACCGTTCAGCTCCCGCATGTGTGTGTATGTGTGTATGTGTGTGTTGGTCAGTCATCTGAAGCGAGGTGCCATCCACGAACTGCAGGCGGCAGACTTCAGGCAGCACCAGGTGAGTCACCGGTGAACCCACACACATGTGGCTGTGCTCTCGCACTTTATCTCTCTCTCTCTTTCTCTCTGTGTGCGTGCGGGCGTGCGTGTGTGTGTATGAGTGCAGCTGTGCCGGCGTGTGTTGAGGTGGTGGCGTGGGCAGGTCGACCGCTGGCAGCACATACGCCTCCACTACCGCGCAATGAAACACAACAAGTACACACACACGCACACACACGCACACAGATGACAAGGAGAGAGAAAGCCTCTGTGTGTGACGCCGTTGGTCCCTTCCTCTGTTGTCTTGTCAGGCTGCGGAGAGGCTTCACGCGTTGGCGGAGCTCTCTCACCCAGTCGTTGCAGCGGAAGAGCACACGCGTGAGCAAAGGCAGGGACAGAGGGACAGAGGCCAGCACACAATCACGCGAAGGGAATGCGGTCTCTCCTTTGCCAGAGTCTGGCGGTTTTCCACGACTTTTCGAAGCGTTCTGGCGTCATCTTCGACGCCTGGCGGTCCGTCACTGACGAGGCCTACAGGATCCAACGTACGCACGAGCACCACCACTACACTCGCACACACACACACACACATCCATTATGGACGTGTGTGTGTGGATGTGTGTTGTGTTGTCTGTGGTCAGGGACGAACATGGGCCTGCTGCACCACTCTGCCGTCCTCACGGCCAAGAGCTTCGCCGCATGGTACACACACACACACACACGAGCGGGAGACGACAGCCCAGCCAGCAGCGTCACTCGGCCCGCACTGTGTTGACCCCAGGCGCGCCTACGTGTACCAGCTTCGGCGTGCGAAGCGGCTGCTCAACTCGCAGTCGAGCAAACACGCCTACACGCACACTCTCGCCGTGGCCTTGAGGAAATGGCGCAGCTACCTCAAAGTGAGCTGAGCTCCTGAGTGTGGCCCCAACGCCATTGCATGCTTTGATGCGTGTGCCGGCCGGTGTGTTGGTGTGTTGTGTGCAGCATCGTGCGTCCATTGACAAGTACTACAGGGAGAGGAGTCTCCGGTTCTGGCAGAAGAAAGCACTCAGGCGGGCCATCAGGGAACTCATGACCTGGGCGGCAACCAGGTAGAGACACCGGCACAGAGATGCAATGAATGCGCGAAAACTGTTTGTTGTCTGTTTGTGTATCGTCAAGGCGCTGGCTGCGTCACGGGGGCCAGCGTGCGAGCGCCCTGTTCCTGAGGAAGCACTTCGAGGCCATCAAACAGTTCAGACTCTTGTCATACCAGGACAAGGTCACCTCCTCTCACACACACACAGATGGACACCCAGACATGATGCCGTCGATCCATAGCCGATGTGATGTGTGTGCAGGCTCGCGACCGGCGAGTAGAGTCGCTCTACGTCCAAAGAGCGCAGCGGCGCCTTCTCACAAGATGGCGGGTACCAAACACCTGCACACCCCCCCCACTCGCACACACGGACGTAGCCCCACCTCCCTCCCTCCGTTGTGTTGCCCCCAGGAGTCCCGGCAGCAGGCCCTGCGGCTGTCGGTCCTCCAGTCCCGCTCAAAGCACTCACTCGCCAACTCCGCCATGGCCACACACTTCGAGGCCTGGAAGGACTACATCGCCCACACACGCACCCAGAAGCAACTGGCCCGCTCATTTCGCAACAACGACCTCGCCCGAGCTGTCCACAAGTGGCGCGACTTCGCGGGTGCGATGAAGGCCATGAGGGAGAGGGAGGGGCGTGTGGGGCGGTTTCGGAAGCTGGCGGGGAGGCGTGGGAGTGGTGATGCGTTGAGGGTGTGGCGCGGGAGCGTGGACGCGGCTAAGGAACGCAAGAGACGACTGGAGGAGTACAGACGGTGAGTGAGAGAGGGGGGCTATGAGGGAGAGAGAGGGAGAGAGAGGGAGACTGATCTGGTGTGTGTGTGTGAGGGCAGCAAGTGGGACCGTTGTGTATTGCGTGGTGCCTTCTTCCGCTGGGGCAAGTACTTTGCCTACGCTGCGCACGATAGGATCAAGCAGATGAGGCTGCAGGTGGGCATGGGGCCACCATCACGCGCAAGGAAACAGAGAACTCTGCCTATTTGTGTGTTGTGGTGTGTGCAGGTGTGTGAGGTACAGTCGAGCTTAGACGACGAGCGCCAGCGTAGCAGCATCGTATCGGAACGAAACAAAGTCAGCAAACCAAGCCATGCGACCATCCGCCATACAACTCTCCCTCCCTCCCTCCCTCTCTCTCTCCCTCTGTCAGGAGCTGAGTGAGCAGCTGGACCTCGTCCACGGCAGACTCATCGCCGGCAAGGTACCTACGAAACCAGACACCCACAAACATCACCACACCACACGCACATCACTGGTTCTCTCTCTCAGGACGAGTTGCGTGACATGGAGTCCAAGATGTCGGCGCTGGAGCACGCCCAGGCGGCCGTCAGGGCCGCCCGCGAAGAGTCCGAGCGGCTCAGGGCGGCGCATATCGATGCCGAGAGGCGGCTGGAAGAGACCCGACAGAGGATGGCTGAGAACCAGGTCAGTCAGGTCATTGAGTTGGGAACACACACATGCGCCTGTTGACCAGCTGCACGTGTGTGTGTGTGTGTGTGTGTGTGTAGGAGGCAGCAGTGTCTGAGCGTCGTGCGTTGGAGCGTCAGCTGGGGAGCGTGCAGCAGCAGCTGCAGGCCAAGGACCACTCACTCAGTGAGCCGGCAACACGGGCCGCAATCCCATCTCACAGACACGTGTGTGTGTGTGTGTGTGTGGTGCAGGTGCGGCCCAGGAGGGTCTGCATCAGCTGCAGGGGGAGCTCAGCACCTCACAGCAAGACACGCAGCAGAAACTGCAGCAGGTCAGAGCCACACACACACACACACAAGTGACAGCCACACACCCATCAGCACCCTCTGTGTGTGTGTGTGAGAGTGTGTGTCACCTCAGGCCCTCGACGTGACGGCCTCTCTCCGTCGGCTGCTAGAAGATAAGACCGGCGAGATCAACGAGCTGCAGCGAGAGAAGCAGGCCTGGACCTTCAAGCAGCAGCAGCTAGAGGTACCCACACACACACACAGACCACACACAACGCCGCGAGATATCACACGGATGGATGGATGTGTCAGGGCATGTTGGAGCACGAGCAGCGGACGTCAGCCTCTGCGGTTGACAGCCGCGACCGGCGCATCGCCCAGCTGGAGCAGGAACTCCACGACATGACCAACAGCAGCAACCAAGCTGAGGAAAAGTGAGATAGAAGACAACAAATGACGCCACCCCCTTGTGACCGACTTGACCTGTGTGTCCGTCCATCTGAACAGCTACCAGCGTAGCCAAGCTGAGTCGGCCAGCCGTGCGCTCGAGATCCGCAAGCTGAAGTACCAGCTGGAGCTGCTCGAGACCCGTCACGACCTCCCACCACCACCAACAATCCCGCCACACCCCATACCCACACCCACACCCCGCGACACACAGCAGCAGTCGCCCCACACACACACACACCCAGTGGTGCCGCGCAGCCCCCACCCAAGCGGCCCAAGCGGCGAGAGGTATGCCGAGGAGCGGATGGCTGACGACGACCTCAAGCACGAGCTGTCGGCCCTGCAGCAGCGGCTGCTGACCAAGCTCAAGAGGGCCGACCGAGAGAGGATGGGCGGCGTCTGTGTGTCGCCTCCCGTGTGTGCGACGGAGCGGCTGATGGCGGGGGGCGGCGAGGGTGAGGGAGGCGGTGCGTTTTTGGTGTCGTCCCCTCTTCTGCCCAGCTGTCCCCCATCCTTTGCTTCATCGCCGAGACATCGGACCACCCTGCAGCCGCTGGGCGGCAGGGGGAGAGCCATGCCGCGCTCTGTGTCGCCACCTTTCTCGACCAGCGAGGCGCCCATATCAGCAGCATCAGCCAAGTCCGTCACCCCACCGCCGCCCCAGAGGCGAAAGGCGCCCTTCCTGCCCCCACTGCCCTCCCTCCCTCTCGCGAGAGACAGACCCACACCAGCAGCATCAGCAGCAGCAGCCGACAGCCTGCCAGGGAAGCGGACCTGGACCGACCCGGGGAGAGAGGTGGTGAGGGCTCCGAAGGCGCCTGCATCCCAACCTCCCCGCTCCAGCACGTTCCCCAAGGCGATGCCGCCGCGGAGCAAGACGCTGTCGCCTGGCCGTGGGGGTGATGAGTGGGAGGGCTCCGAAGGCGCCTGCATCCCAACCTCCCCGCTCCAGCACGTTCCCCAAGGCGATGCCGCCGCGGAGCAAGACGCTGTCGCCTGGCCGTGGGGGTGATGAGTGGGAGGGTGGTGGCGGTGGTGGTGGTTGTGATGAGGGCAGCAGCATAGAGGCGTTGCAGGAGAAGTTCTTGCAGCTGCGGAAGATGCTCAGGCAGAAGAGCACGGTCTGATGGAGGACGGGTGGTGGTGGGGGGGTGGTGGGTAGAGAGTGTGTGCGTGAGTGTGGACGTCGTCGTGGTGTCTCGCTGTACAGAGGTGGAGTTGATTGACAAAAAACGGGTCTCGTCTCTCTCTCGCCCAGCCGCCCATGCAATAGCACCCAACATTCAACGCATAACAAAGACCACACACACACACACGCACAGAGAGAGAGAGCGCATCGTCCGTCAAATACTGGGAGACCGATCCATCCATCCATCCCGCAGCATCATTCCATTCACCGAAGTCACTTACTCCTCGTGAGCTGTGCGTCTGACACACATGACATGGTCCACGCCACCCATCTGATCTGTCGACGACCGGCCGTCCGCCGACTCCCACCACACACATACACATACACCGCACTCACACACACAGACGATGGATGGTATGACACACACAGTGACAGGAGAGGGAGGGAGGGGCGATAGGCACGCGTCGCGCCCATGTCTGCCTGCCTGCCTGCCTCTCTGAGAGAGTTCTTGTTTCGTTCTGCCTGCCTGCCTGCCTGCCTCTTCCATGCGCCGAATTCTCAATCCCGGCCGACGTTACCTGGGAGAAGTTCATTTGCGTTGAGACCTCCGTTGTGGGTCTCTCTGCAAATGACCTCCCCGCCGGCCACGCCAGACGCCGACGAGACCGAGAAGCGACGAATGAATGCATCAACCGACAAGTCCACGATTCCGACATCTATCTCATCGATCCACCACCGACCGTCCTGCGTCGTTCTGGTCCCCCCTGTCACCACTCTGCCTGCAACGGAGGGCTGAGCAGCTTGGTATGGCTGCACGACATTCGGTTCCATGCAGAAAGGCGACAGTAGGGGACCATACGAGCGACAGCGAGCCACAACACAACACACAAAAAGGAAGCAAGCCCTACCGACAGACACCGACAGACGGAAGCCAACACGGCTTCAAGAGGAACACACACGACCCCCTCTCCCTCTCTCCCCCTCCCTCCCTCCCTCTTGGCCAAATGCATGCACGCCACTCACTTTGGAAAAAACCCTAATATCAGGGGTTGGTTGCCTCCTGCAGTGCCCATCCAATCGCCACGACCCAGATCGGCTGCTCTGCTCTGCTCTGCTATGCGCCCGAAGCGGATGGGTGTGGCTCGTGTGCTATCTGCAGGGCGGTGACGAGCGCGGCGTAGGCCACACACGAATCGTCACGGGACTCGACGCGAGACGACTGACCAAGGACAGGACAACGAACAGACAGACATGGTGTGCGTGTCTGCGTGTGGCTGTGGTGAGTCGCGCGTGTACCTACCTGGCTGTAGTGGACCATCTTGGTATGGAGGCACGACAGCAATTCGGGCGGCAGCCTCTCCAGCATCTAGATAGATACACACAACGCAACACACAATTGGCGAGTGTAGTCTCTCTCTCTCTCTCTCTCTCTCCGGGGCTCTCTCTCTCCCCCTCTGTGTGTTGTGTGAGTGTGTGTTCTCTTCCTCTCTGTCTCTACCCACCCTGAGTAGGATGCAAATCGGATGTCTCCCACAGATGGTGTTGCCCTGGATCTTAAGATACAACGCAAAGGCTGATCGGATCCACATCAACACACAAACAACATAAACCACACACCACACACTCGTTCACGCGACGGAAACCGAGCCATCCTTCCCTCAACCCTTCTCTATTGTGATTTACCTTCGGCCTTGTGCTGCTCGATGAGCGCGATGCCCTGACGGTCCAGGTCCTGTCACAGAGGAAACGGAGGGAACACACAGGTGCAGGCGCTGCGCGACTGTACGGCCTGCCTGCCTGCCTGCCATGAGTGTGTCAGTACTTACCGATATGGCGTCGTTGATGTGCTTGCCCTGCGACTCGGGCTTGAGGTACGTGTAACGAAACCTGCTCACAGACAGACACACACGAGAAACACAGCACTGAGGTCAAAGCGGCATCCATCGAAGGCTTCTCTTCTCTCTCGCCTTGCCTGCCTTGTCTGCACACACAGCACAGCCAGACGCCTACCCTACCCTACCTCTTGCCCCAGTGGCAAAAGTCAGACGAGATGACAAACATGGTGCCCTGAAGAGGAGGGACAAAGCAGAACACACGACAGACACGCTCCCTCCCACTCATGAGCGCATTGAAAGTGGCGAGGCCACACCGTCCCCCCCTCAAGTCCACCTATTACCGGGTCGGCGAAGTACTTAGCGAAGAGCTCTCCGTAAGTCTTCTCGTCCTGGGCGGACGTCACACCAACCACTACGGGCACCAAAGTGAACGCATGACTGACACACACACACACACACAGACACACAAAACACAGGAAGGAACCACACACACAGAGAGAAAGGGCCGTTTGTCAGTCATATGAGGGCCTCTCTCTCTCTCTCTCTGTCTCTCTCTCGGTGTGTGTGTGTACCGCACCCCCTCATGATGAAGTGCAGGAATGGGAGCTGCTGCTCGACAGAATGCTCGTTCTGGTCATGCTGCAGCGGAAACTCCTCAAAGTAACCCTGCATGCCCCGCAACTCGTCCAACACTGAACCAATCACACACACCAACACAACACACTCATACACACGCACGAGTCTTACGACTTGTGTGTGAGTGTGTGTGTTTTTGTGTGTGTGCATACGTTCGGTGTCGAGGGGTATGGTGCCGAATGGCGTGGCGTAGTGCGTCACGGACCGCTCGGGCAGGGCACACTTCTGCAGATACACATGGTGGGAGGGGCCGAACACAAACACACGGTGACTGCGACCAACACACACACAACACACACACACACACACACGCACACACTCGTGTGTGGTCCTCTTATGTGGCCTGTCAGTCAGTGTGCGGCTTGGCTTACACTCTCTTCGGGTCGACATTTTTCCATGCCCAGGCTGCCGTCTTGGCGGAGTACTGGTACCCCGCGTGTGGGCAGATGAGGGCCTTGGCGTGCATCGCCGACTGCGACGCCTCGCTCAACAGGCCATCGAGCTCACGACCCAACGCGTCAGCTGAACAACACACACAACACAGCACACACAACACACAACACACAACAAAACACAACACAGCACATGTGAGAGGAAGGTCTCTCTCGTCACACACACACACACACATCGAGCGGCTTCACCGAGGTGGTGCGGTTGTGCTGTGTGAGTTATTCTTACGGTCTGCATTGTACCAGCTGCCCGAGTGGGCGGCGGCTCGGCACGCCATCACTCACCCAAACCCTCAAGACCCGGCTCTCAGCCGATGACTCAGAAGCAACACACGCGACGCACACGAACCGATGCTATGGCGACTGCGAGGTATCCCCTCGGTCCTGCTCCCCGACAGTCACAGATGGTCGGCGGAGGGTGATCGAAGTGACGCTGGAGGGCTGTTGGCGGCGAAGTTAAGGCTCCCCGCCTGCTGATGGATGCGTGGGTGAGCTGTTGAGAGGTTTCTGAGCGGAAATGACGTCGGAAGGCTCCGCAAGCTCAGCTTCGGCTTTCCTGCGAGCTAAGCTGGGAGAAGGAAAAAGTACGAAACGGTCCCTATGGGGCAGCTGAATGGCTAGATGACGTCATGCCTGCTTGTCCTGACTCTCCTCCTACTCAGCGATGCATCTGCATTCATCCATCGCCTCTCACGTCGATGCAGCTGTCGATGGACTGCTCTCCGAGCGAGGAACACCGCCACATCGGCAGATCCTCACTTGGTTGCGGTTGTCGGCGGGGGAGCCGCTGGGGTGTTTGCGGCCATCCGGGCAAAGCAAGTCGCCGGCGACAGATGCAGGGTGGGGTGAGATCAGCAAACAGCCTCAGAAGAAGCATACACATGTGGGAATCTATGCATTGATGCGTTGTCTGTCATACGCCTCTTCAGGTGATGGTGTTCGAGGCGGGCCCTGAGATGCTGCCGAAGGTCCGGATCAGCGGCGGTGGGAGGTGCAACGCGCAGCAAGACCCACAGAAGACCATTAGTGACATTGCCAAGGGTAAAAACAGTGACGACACGTCGCGCCGCTTAGGGAAGGTGTGGTCTTGACTCACTCACTCATCAGACATCTGCATCTGTGTGTGGGTAGGTAGGCTACCCTCGTGGTAGCCGTGAGCTGCTCGGCCCGCTGCATGTGAGCCAGGGAGGGTCAACAAAGGTGGACCCATCGGCTGCACACCCTGTCCTTCTTTCTTCTCTCGTTCGTTGTCAGCGATTCTCGCCAGCAGACACACACCAATGGTTCACTGACAGGTGGGGAGGACGGCGGGGGGGGGGGGGAT